CGGGGGTGGTATGCCCAGATCTTGGGCAAGCTGGCTGTAGCAAGGTTCCTTGTGGCACAGTTGGTCCAGAGCTAGCAGTGAGAAGAGAATTGGGGTGGCTGGGCCCCAAAGACCAGTTGCTATCCTTTAGCTACATTTCAGCTCAAAATCCAGAGGAATCCAAAGACTCTACATGTACACCTGGTCTTCCAGGTCTTGATGAAGACATATTCACTAGGATAGGAGAATAGGGTGTATGTTGTTTCACAGCTAGCCAACAGCTTCCCTTTAATAATTTTTCCTCTCTCCTCTAGGAAGGAGACTCCATCTATATGCGCTGCCCCTAAAGCCCATAACGAGGAGCCCCGGTGGCCTAGTGGTTATGCGTTGGCAGAAAGATGAAGCTTTCTACTCCTGGGAAGAGTGACAGTCTTGGAAACTGACAGGGGCCCAAATTTCAGGAACCAACCCTGGGTCGGTATCAACTCAATGGCAATACATTTTTAAGGGTCCCTCACGTTACAGTGAGCCACTGTAGGTGGGTGCAGGCAGAATGTGTCAAATGGAAGCTCCCTACTAAGAGAATTAAGAGCACTCTTTGGGTCACTCCTAAAATGCTGTTTGGTGTCCGGTGCAGGGGTCCATGCATCCTGCTTTCCATTAGATCCCAAACCAACAGGGCTGTCTCGCTGCTCAGGTGGCTCCCATCCTTACACACCTCCAGGTGCTTACAGCTGACCCGCTTAAGGAGGCAATTTTACCTCTTGATGGAGAGTCACAGCACTTCTGCTTCCAGCCGTTTGGTCTCAGCCTGGCAGCCCAAGCCTATTCCTTCTCCCTTGGTCTTCAGCAGCAACAAAGGAGCCTCCTCTCACTAATTGGGGGAAAAGGTAGCAATGTCCCCCACTTGTCCCTCTGAATAGGCACTCCATACCAGCTATATTGAACCTCACAGCTCATTCTTGTCCCTGATATCACTGGCATTCACCTTGGGCTCCCTATCTGCATGCTCTTGATCTCTATCAGCCTCTGTGATGTCTGGGTGAAATTGTGGGACTCCCAGAGGGCAGGGCCACATCACAGGGCTGTCCCTACCCCGTGTCTCTGGACCCTGCTCATCAGAGCAGCAGGCACAGGGAAGCACTTAATAAAGACTCTGATGCCAGAAACAGAGGCCCAGTGTTCCATGCCCACAGCTTTGCAAGTACCTAAGAAGCAATGCACAGCCACGGTCAGAATGCAACCTGAGCAGTCCTCCTGCCAGCCTGGGTCCAAGCAGACGCCTCTTTGTAAACTAGGCAGGGGGTGCACCCTCTTGCCTCTGTGATCATAAACCTCACCCTCCTGAGGATGACCCCTACCACCATCATAAAATAACAGTAAAGGCGGATGTGGTGCTCATGAAATGAGGATCATCCCAGACTCATCCTCCAGACTTACAAACAAGGACCCCGAAGCCCAGAGGGGCTGTGTGACTTGTTCAAGCCTCACACTGGTGCAGTCTGACTGCAAACACCTGGAC